TTTTGTGAACATATCCTGTAATATTCTAAAGAAACGTCAGTTTGGATACTTTTATGATTCTATTCCTATAATATTCCATTTAAGGTCTAGAAAACATGCTTATTCAGCTCTGCTCTCTCTATAGACTGCATACATAAAATATGTGCACCATTTTTATTTATTTATGTGTTTTTACTCGGAATGCTAGAAGAGAATAAGCACAACTATTCCCTGATCATGTACAAAATTTAAAATGCCAAAATCACAGCATGATGGTTACCTCAATACTTGGGTAAATCATGATGGTTATTTAAATTCAAATGCACATGAGCCTCTAAGTGTTTTTTTTACCACTATTGGCAGCATAAATCGACAGCATACATTCTGTTTATATTGTGGAATCTGCAAGCAAATCTCTTTCTTTATTTCATATTTAGATAGATAGATAGATAGATAGATAGATAGATAGATAGATAGATAGATAGATAGATAGATAGATAGATTTTAGAGCTTTAAATCAGCTCTTCTCAAGTTCGCACAGGTGTACTGGAGTAACCACAGGTGTAGAGAATCACATTAATTATCAACAGGATCCACTAACAATTACGCATGTCCAAATACTTTATATATATATATCATTATCAAATGAATACAATTTTTTTTGGTCCTGTATCGGTCTGAACAGAGAGTGTTTAGCATCTGAACAAAGGAGCACTCCCGGTAAGTGACGGAATGAATCGACGCCAATGGGCGAGTTCCCCCGTTTCCACTGCACTGCATGCATACAAGTGAGAGCAGTGGTCTGAAACAACAGGCTTGTGTCAGGTTAAGTGTCGCGTTAATATCGGCCACTTGACACCCTTTTATCTCGCCGCTCAATGGCCGATTAATGGCCGAAGCAGGAATCCACTGCTTCTTTTTTACTCTAGACAAACATTTGTGTATTTTGTTTATTGCTGAAGTGTGTTGAACTTTCTTCTTCTGCATTCTACTGTACGGACGTAAATTTACTTTCCCTTCAGTCTGAGGCGCATTACTACCCTACAATGAAAATGGTAACTTGAGCCATTACTGTGGTGATCTATTAACTTAGCTCAATTATGATTCTACTAACAGTACTTATGGTATTTCAAACTATTATGGTTACCACTTTTTTTTTTTTTAACCATACACTAAAAAAAAAAAATTAAATACTGGGTTATTTCAACCCAACTTTGGGTCAAATTTGGACTAACCCAACTTTTGGGTTAAAAATTTAATGCAAAAATTTAACGCAACAGTTGGGTTAGTCCATATTTGACCCAAAGTTGGGTTGAAACAACCCTGCTTTGTTTGTTTTTAAGTGCACTTACAAATTGTCACTATACACTTAAGTGGGCCATTATTTTAATACTATTATATTGTCTGCAAATACAGCTTTTTGTAAACATACCTTTATGATCTGGTCAAGCACACATTCAGTTAATTTTTCACAAGGGCTGTGACACTTTCGTTGTGTATTATATCCATTTAATCCACTCAATGTCTTTTTAGGATTAGAATAATACAAATTGTATTTTGTTAACCGAATACATTACAATAACCTTATTTCTTGAGAAACTTTATAATTCAGAACCAATTTAATACTGAATTGATAAAATGCCAGTGTTTTGCATATACAATCTGTAAGTATAGGTTTAATGGCAGTCTGCTTTATTGCAGGTACTACCTGAAAGAGTCCAAAGGAAGCAGAAGGTGGTTAATATTTCTGGAGGGTAAGTGTGAAGCGTTCAATCATCAGAATAACTTGTGTAGAAGATTTGATCACCATTGTGTGTATCCGTCATGCAGAACATGTAAGACACGCGTCTCTCTCTGCAGGTGGCTGGTTCTGCTTCAACAAAGAGAACTGTGACAGCAGATACGAGACCATGAGGAGGCTCATGAGCTCCTCCAAATGGCCACAAACCAAGACAGGTTAGAAATGCCAATGGTCCGTCAACTGAAACTACATTTCTAATAGTATTACTGGCTTATTCACAACCAGTCCGAATTTTTTGGCATGATAAACATACATGAACTAGATTTCAAAATGAATATGCATAGATTGTTCTCATTTCGGTTTTATTTTATAATGCATGTCTTTATTTTAACTTTAGGCACAGGAATACTTTCTTCGCTTCCAGAGGAAAACCCACACTGGTGGAATGCCAACATGGTGTGAGTATCCCACTATAAATGTTTTTGTAAAAGAAGTAAATATTCTGTTACTTCTCCCTGTTTGAAACGTGCTGAGTTTCATAAAGGTTATGATGGCACGGTTCTGGACCAGAAATCTTTGTGTTTATCTCTTTTCAGGTTCATCCCATATTGCTCAAGTGATATATGGAGTGGAGCCACACCAAAAACTGATCAAAGTAAGACTACTTACTGTAGCGAATCAGCTCATGGGAAATATGAATAATTAACCATAATTAGCTATAGTTAATTATGAATATTTTAGATCTGCTGTAGATATTTAGTTGACCTCTCAGGGTCAACTGTCTTGTCAATTCTAAGAACATTAATTTCCTGGTTAAAGGAAATAACTTTCTTACTGTACAATTCTACAAAGCTTGTAGCGTAAATCTGCATGATTAGTGACTCCGGTTATGAGCAAACAATGAACACGTCAAGTGTGATACAAGTAAGGTTTTATTAACTACATAAGTCCAACATACTACATAAACTAGTCCAACATACTACATAAACACATAAACTGGTCTAACATC